TAAAAATAAGTACTATGAAAGGAAAAATAATACGAAAATAAAAAATTTCCCCAAATTGCTTCCTCGCACGGAGGTGGTTCCGGAGGAGGACGAGCTGCTAAAGTATGGTAGAAGAGAATTTCAACCCCCGAAAAATTCGTTTGAAACCCTACTCTTCTTGCGCTCGCCAATATGCTCTCGCCAATTTGCTCCTTGAGATTTGCCATTGACATCCATGTCCGAGGTGCAGAAGAAAACTTTATCATGTTGCTTTGTGATTCTTCGCCCACAAAAATCCAAGTCATACCCCACCGCCCCTTGCGTTCCACACACGTCCCGAAACTCTAAAGAGGAAAGTTGCACGAAATTCTCGTTCCACGAAAAACTCAGCCGCACGAATGAAGCTCGATCAGGGGAATGGAACAAAAAACCCTAACAAGTGTAGGGAAGACGGCCGCTACTCGAAAGAATCGATAGCGGAGAAGAAACCCCTAACGATGAAAATCAACCCTAGAAAGAAGAGGTCTGACTATGCCGTGCCAATTAAATCAGAATCTTCTAACAGATCGAGAAGAAAGTGATCATTGGTAGCCGGCCATAGGTGAATCAAGCCCTTAAACCGCACAAATACGTTGTGAAGGAGAAGAAAAATCAATCTGCACAAGGAAGTCGGTGGGTTCTCTCTAAACGAGTTCGTATACTATACACCCGGTTGTACGGGTGAGAACCGTACAACCAGGTATTTTTGTGATTTCACTTAACTTTCTGTCCAATTTAGTATGTAGTGTTGTCTTCATCCGCCTTTATTTAATCCTTGTTGTGTGCCTGCTACCCTGCGTACGTGTCCAATTTAGCCAGGTGTTCGTGTTTTTTTTTGCATACGTGGTTACGTACTTAGCCATACGTTGCCCACTTGCCCATGTTCTTGTAACTTAATGTTTCACCATGTTTTCACTTCACTGCCTTATTTCCCTTGATTTCACCATGTTTTCTCTTCATGTTCTTTTTTTGCTTTTTTATATACTTTTAATTCATAATTTATCTACGTATCAAATTGACTCTTACAAATTTCCAAAAAACCATTTAGTAAATTATTAATATATATATATATAACTATAAAAATTATAACAATTTTATAACAAGTTTCGAAATGTTACATCAATGAACATTTATGTTAAACAATGTGCTCATACTAGTATATAAAAAACCTCATTTCATTCTATTGAGTATTAGGAACCTAACAATGAGCATCACGATCTATGTTTCATATTTAATTTTCTAATTCACTTTTTTCCTTTTTTGTTCTTTTTAAAAAATTTATTAAAATATATCTATAATCATTCTCTTTGAACTTCAATATGCGAATATAATGTAGTATTGTAATTTTGAAATATGCATTGATATGACATTTTAAAAATGAGCATAACATGAGTACGAATGGAATATAAGTAACTTCCAAAATGAGCAAAACATCAGTATCAAATGAGTATACGTAACTTACAAAATGAGCATTATTGATATGAGAATCGTAAACTTGGTTAGTTGAACATCAAGATATAATCATTGAACATCAAATTTCCTCTATTATGTATTAGAAGCACGCAATTGAGTATCATGATCTCTGCCCTCGTGTATATAATCAACTCCTATGTGATTGTAATGTAATATGATATTTTTGAAATATGCATTTATTTGGCATTTTAAAATGAGCATAATAGCATTACCAGATGAGTATACGTAACTTACAAAATCAGCATCAAAAAATTAAAAAGCTCATTTGAACTTTCTAATCTGTGCTCAAATATTCATTGTGTGTGTTCGTTTGTTTTAATTGTTATACTCATAAAAGTATAACATAAAATCTTTTATATATGTTGAGTATCAGAAGGTTAATATTGAGCATCGTGATCTCTGCTTCATATCTTCCAATTTATTTTGTTTTTCTTATTTTTTTATATTATAAGAAATCTAAATTATATCTATTATCAACTCTTAAGAATTTCAATATGTGAATATAATGTATCGAAATTAACATTGAGCATTGATATGATATTTTAAAATGAGCATAACTTTAGTACTGAATGAACACATATAACTTACAAAATGAGCATTTATATGAAAATATTAGTTTTGTTAGCTGAACATCAAGACATTTTTATTGAGCATCAAACTTACTCTATTGAGTAATAGAAGCATGCAATCAACTCTCATTCGAAACTAACGTAATATGATATTTTTGAAATATGCATTGATATGACAATTTAAAATGAGCATAAAATCAATACTAGATGAGCACACGTAACTTACAAAATGAGCATCAAATAGTTCAAAAGCGCAGTTGAATTCTCTAATGTCTTAAAAAATGAGCATTAGTGTATTTTTAATGAGCAATTGTCAAATTTTAATGAGTACTAAGCGTCCAATAATGAGCATTGTGTTATTACAAGAAAACTTATATCACAATTAAAAACGGTGGCATTTTCATAATTTTAGTGAAAATCACGGTTTTTTGAGATGAGCATTAATACACTTTTAATGAGTATCATACGTATTCTACTGAGCATTAAGAGTCAAAATGAGTATTGTGATATCAACTCATATATTGTAATTCACTTTCATTTTCTTATTTTTTCTTTTATAAAATCATTGAGTTATATCTATAATCAATTCTTATGAATTTCAATATTTGAATCTAATGTAATAACTAATATGTTACTTTTGAAATATGCATTGGTATACTATTCTAAAAATGAGCATAACATGAGTACCAATTGAGCAAACATACGTACCTTACAAAATGAGCATTAATATGAAAGCCACAAGTATTTTTAGTTGAACATCAAGACATTTTTATTGAGCATCAAACCTCCATCATTAAGTATTAAAAACATGTAATTGATTATGATTGTATGTGCTCCCATATCTATAATCAACTCATACGTGAATCTAATGTAATTGATACTTTTGAAACACTCATTGAACATTTTAAATGAGCACAAAACTGATATAAAATGAACATACATAACTTACAAAATAAGTATCGAAAAAATCAAAACTACTCATTTGAAAATTTTAATGTACTCAAATATTCATCTCTATATGCTCATTTCTTTTTAAAATGAAAAGCAGATTTGGACCTATTTCTTAATTCGAATTCAATAAACACTACGGCACTCCATATTAATTAGCTACAGTACACCGTATTAATAAGCTACAGTTATCTGTATTAATTAATTAATTGATACTTGTTGGATTCAAGTTCACGGGGATCGTTCTTGAGCCAGAGGACGGAAATCTGAAGTTCTTCTCTGCAGGGCTTCCATCAATGGCCGCCTGAAAACAACCTCCCCAGCAACCACGACGGCAATTATTACGATAGGCACAAGCTATATATGATGCGTCGATGACCAGCCGATTCCACCTCCCTGCCTTCCCATCCTTCGATGGATGATTCAAGACATCAGATCAAAGGCTTAAAATTTAGTTTAATTTCAAAAATACCCGGCTGTACGGTGCTCACCGTACAGCCGGTTGTACGGTATATTTTACGCTCTCTAAACCTTGCGTTATTACTAGTAGGCGTTAGAAATTAGAATATAATAATGTTATATGTGTATCTTGAAAATATAAAACCAAAATTTGTTAAGTGTTTTTTTTTTCCATATTTTTAATTTTTAATTGATGGAGTTATGAGACTAGGCCCAAAGCCTAATCGGCCCAAGTCTCGAACTTGGACCTGTGGATCCAAGTTCACAAACTGGAGCCCGCCTACCAGCCTAGCGGGGAGCCTGCCAGTCTGGTCGACCTGCCATCTAGAAAGAGTAACGGTCAAGCAATTAATGCGTTGTTTAATTATATATTTAATTCCGTATTAATGTTGTAATTAATTAGTCATTATTATTAGTAGCAGTTACGATTTGTATACGCCTGTAAAAGGCAGGATGTAATTCAAATTAAGGAAGCAATTTGGAGATGCTATTCTTGGCAACTGAAACCTCGTGAGCAACTTTCCTTATTCATATTGCTTTCTTGATTTCCTGCTTGAGTGTCGAACGTAGTTTTCCTAAAAGCCTACGAGCATCCTATTTTGGACCAACATTAATAAAAAATAAAAATGAGTTCATGACATATTTGGTTATTTTTGGGGACTTCACGGATTTAAAATTTGTCTTTCGTGTTTTTTGGACCCAAGAAGACTACAACCGTTAAAACTTTACACATTTTTTATGTCTTTTATATGTAAAATTAGTGTCATATGAAAGAACATAAAAAATTATGAATTTTGATATACATTTTGAAATTTTTGGTGAATAAATAAAAAAGTTATAGAGGGTTAAAAAAATGGGATATTATGATGCAAGGATAAGTCAGCATGATGTCATCCGCACTCAACACCAAAGTCCAATCTAGCCGTCCTAGCCATCCCCGTTTTCTTTTCTTTTTCCTTTTCTTCCCCGTGTCAACCCACCATCTATTTTTAAACATTCTTCATCCCTTTTTCCACTTTTAACCCCTCATTTAACTCACCACTACATTAAATCAGGAATCCAAAATTTCCTACTTTAACATTTTGGACTCCTAATCCTACACCACTACAAACGATCTTAGGAGTGAATAAGTCTTACTTTAGGACGAAAACAGTGATAGTCATAAATGTGCACTTTGTTTATGTTTTAATCGAATTTTCTCTAAACAAAAGCTAATATCTTTACCAAACCAAATACGGAGTATTTTCCAAATCACTCCGAAAATGATTTTGCGAAATTGAACTTTACGAAATATTTTTCACTGAAAATGATTTGAAACCATTTTATACTCAAGTTCAAGAACAGTGGAAATACTTTAAAATGCTAGGAGACAATATCCTAATAATTCAAAATATGCTAGGGACAAAAAATGTTTTAGAAATAAGACTTTTTATATTGGAAGGAAAATATTTTACCCCAAATAATGAAATTTCCTTGGCTTAAATGGGCAAACAACGTTGCAACTTTTCAGGGAGTCATTTTCAATAAGAAGAGGACAACCTTATTGGGTGTATAAGTGTATTATGGGTGAGATGTGAGATATATATGTAGTGCTTGTCGTTGAAAAACTCTACTTAATTAGAAATGTTGTCCTGAGAAATATTGTCCTGTCCGTGATTGAATACTAGCTCACACCAACTAAGCTAGCAGCATCTAGCTATCAAGTTCTTAGAGCTCTCTGGTCTTTGGACTGAAGCAATCAAATTAATATGGAAATCCAAAAATCCTCAGAACCAAAAGGAGATTCAGCCAGTGGTGAGGAGCTATTAAGAACAGGTAACTCGATCAAAAGCTCCTTCGATTTATTTTTTTCATCACCCAAGACAGTGACAGAGCGGTCAGAGCCTCTGATTGTAATTATTGTCATGTTTTGGCAGTACCTGACTTTAAATATGGCAATATTTTTCAAACTTGGTAGTAATTACTTATATTTAGGAGGGAAAAACGACGGTCATGTTTTAGAATTTCAAAACGGCTTTACTCCTATTTCGGAAATTTTCTCATCTATATAGATTTGTGGATTTAGTGTTATACGTACCAATTTATTGGAACTTGTATATGTAGTGTTTCTTAATTTTAACTTCATATATTAGTTTTTTTGTTATTGAAATTAAAGAGAAGCCCGCTAATGTAGAATTGGGACATCAAAGAGTGATGTACTTCAAGATTTTAATTGTAAAGTAATTTTGGATATCTAAAATATACTAATATGCTTGATCCTCCGCCGATGGTAGGAGCTAGCTAGCAAACTAATAAACTTTGCTCGTTGTTAAATCTTATCAAGATGTAAATCAATAAACTTTGCTCATGGGAGGGGAGGTTAATCGCTTTCGATATCATACGTAGTATTAAGTTTGAAGTTTCATCCTAAAAAGTCAATCTAATTGCGTGAGCAACCCAAAACATGTTGGTTTTGTATTTTTATAAGCAACAACGGGAGGTGACTAGATAAGGCTTGAGACTATATATGCATACACACACATTCGTTTTGAGTTGCCCACAGGAACGGTATGGAGTGCGACCGCTCACATAATTGCTGCGGTTATCGGTGCTGGTGTTTTGTCACTGGCTTGGAGCACATCACAACTAGGCTGGATTGGAGGGCCTGCTGCTTTGCTCTGTTTCGCGGTGCTCACCTTCATCTCTGTTTCCCTTTTATCCCGATGCTACAGGTCACCTGACCCTGTAACAGGAGCTAGACACTCTTCATACATGGATGCCGTTAGAGCTCATCTTGGTGAGCTTTCATGCATTAAAACTTTAAGGCTACCAAGTTGTTCAGGAGTTTATGTTAGAGCTTTTTTAGTTGTTTCTTTTGCATGTAGATTAACAAAAGAATAGCACATGTAACCTGGTTGAGAATAGGGCAAAAGGGAGGGTTTTCATAATAGCACAACTGCACAAGTAAAGAGGTACTGAATAGTCTATAAATGTGCTCCTCCATCCGTCTCTGAATTTTCTTCCAAATTTCTTTTTTTCATCCGTCCCAAAATAATCTTTCGTTTCATTTTTTGTCAAAGAATGTGTGGTTCACAACATTTTTAATCATTTTTACACATTTCTCTTTCTCCTGCACAGCTCTCCCACAATATCCACTATCTTAATCCACGTACCAAATGCACTTCGGAAGATAATTTAGAGACGGAGTGAGTAGTAGCTAGTAGGTAAAAAGGTGATCACCTTTTCCCCGAATAGGAGTAAAGTACGGACAAAAGGCAAAAATAGGAGTAATTATGTGTGTTTGGACTGCCCCACCCATAGGACTTTAATTATTACTACGTATTAAAGTTTGAAGTTTAATCCTAAACTTTGTATTTGATCCTTAGAATGAGACTGAGGGTATAAATGTGTGTATTGTAACTTTCTTAAGTGGGCTTCATGCAGGAAGGAGGAGAACGTTGATTTGTGGGTTGCTACAATATTTGAGCATGTACGGAACTTGTGTTGCTTACATAATCACTACTTCAAAGAGCATGAGGTAAGAATGACACACATTAGGGATTGGTTCCATTTGATTCATTTTCTGAAGACATCTTTGGTGTTGGTTGTTACGTGTTTGCCAGGGCGATTAAGAGATCAAACTGTTACCATAAGGAAGGGCACGAAGCTAAGTGCAGTTCAGGAAACACCATATTTATGCTTTCTTTTGGAATTATTCAGATATTTATGTCGCAAATACCTGGTTTTCATAACATGGCTTGGCTATCTGTTATGGCTGCAATCATGTCTTTTGGCTATGCCTCCATTGGAATCGGCCTTGGATTTGCCAAAGTTATTGGTAACATTTTGTTTTCATTGTTTTCCTTCACCTTTATGTCGGGTCAGGTCCTGGCGGCGGGGGTTAGGATGTTTTTACTTGGACTGTAATTTGCTGGTCTGGTCTGGTCTGGTCTGGTATAGTAATGTCTGGTCTCTTTATATTTTTATAACTATCTAAGTCTGGTCTGGTTTGATCTGGTCTGGTCTGAAACAAATTACAGTCTAAGTAAAAACATCCTTATTCCATCTTTGAGTTGTGGGTTGAGTTTAAAATACAAGGGCGAATATAGGATAATAGCTTCCTGGTAAACCGCTAGTGGTACTAGTAGAGAGAAGGGAGAGCTAAGTTAAGAGAGAGAAAGATTGCAAATGAGATTTAAACCCCTTACATCTGCCCACAAGGGGGTCTTTATAATAGCAATAAATGAATCGGTGCATTAAATACATTACACGTGTCGATTATTGTATGAGCGAGAGCCTTGAGGTGTTGCAAAGTTTGACACATGTCATCCTTTGGTTGATCTCTGGCCACATGTTCTCTGTTGGTCGAGGTGTTAATGGCCGAGGTGCAGGGGTGCACCTTTGGTCTGCTAACCATAGTTCCTAGGTAGACTTCAGGTGATCTGGGGTCGAGGTGATGCTACCGAGGTGTCGGTGCCCAAGCTGACTGTACGGACAGAGAGTCTGTTTTTTCGCTCTAGACTGGGATTGTCTGTTGGACCTCCTACTAATGTCATGGGTTTGGCTGTATCCAAGACTGTACGGACAGAGAGTCTGTTTTTTTCGCTCTGGACTGTGATTGTCTGTTGGACCTCCTAGTAATGTCATGGGTTTGGACCGTTCTGTTGGACCTCCTGGTAATGTCATGGGTTTGGACCTCCTAGTAATGTCATGGGTTTGGGCCGTTCTGTGGGTCGTGGATCCGAGCTCATATACTCTATCATAGGAATATGCCTAAAACATAAACCAGACGCACAAACAAGATCATCATCATTTTCTTCTTAAAATTAAACATGACTCATTTCACCTAATTAGGGAAGTTTTATACTTTAAATATGATCAAATAAGTTTTACTTTGGAAACAAAACTATAATTACATACTCTTGCTTATGTACTTTATCTATATTTTATTCCTATTTTGAGAAAATTCTTAAAATTTTAATTGTGTTGAATTGGGTTGGCAACTTGGGGCACAGGTGGCATTACTTGATTTAAGGCAATAATACGTGGATTGTATTTACATTACAAAGTAAAAGAATATCAATTTCCTTAGCTTCACTCCATATATAGATTTGGTTATGGTAGTGGAGCCACACTTGATCATTTAATGGTAAATTTACATTATTATGTTTACCTCTTCCAAATCCGCAGAGAATGGAGTTATTAAGGGAAGCATTACAGGAATAGCAACACAGACCGCAGCTCAAAAGACTTGGCTGACATTTCAAGCATTAGGAGACATTTCCTTTGCTTACCCATATACCCTTGTTGTTCTCGAAATACAGGTATTTAACTTCTCTCACATCAATTTAATAAGGGGAAATAACCTTTAAAAATAGTAACTGTCACTCACAAATCAATAACCATACGTACTTTAGATAATACTAACTATTTGAACATATAGTTAAAGGGATAATCAATATACACAATTTTGTTTTTAGTCCATATCTGATTCTGAAACTACTCTACTTACAAAAAAATTATTATCAGTTACATAAATCTACTAGAAATATTTAATTTGTTTTTATAATTTTTTTGAGGCTAATATGAGAGTTTAAGTAGTGTAAATCTAAGTATTCACATTTTAAAATATATATTAAAAACATTCTAAAAAATAAATTAAATACTTTTTTAATAACATGACAAAGAATTAGAGGAGATCTATTAATCGGGGTTATTTTGAGGTCAAACGGAGATTGTTATCATTAGTGATGAACTATAAAGAAAACCAACCTAAATTGCAGGGACGAAAAACAAAAAAATAATTTTGCAGGGATGTAAAAAAATGTACTCCCTCCGTCCCTAAATAAACTTCCAACTTTCCTTTTTCGTCCGTCCCAATTAAAACTTCCACTTTCCCTTTTTGGCCAGAATTTGTGGTTCACAGCAATTCTTACAGATTTCTCTCTCCTCTGCACAACTCTCCACCACACAATACCCACTATCTTAAACTCTGTGCCAAACCTATTTGGAAGTTTAATAAGGGGCGGAGGTAGTACTATATTTGCAGGGACTAAAAACATATTTAAACCTTTTTTTACCATTATATATCACTACAAAATATAAAATAGTTGACCCCATTTCAAAATACGCTTTATTTGATTTTTTATATGAGTGTTTATTTGTTGTATTAGTGACTGGATTCCGAGTTTGAAAGGTGACTTCATACCATTATACTAGTATATATTTTGAATGACCATGTCTCTATATATGTATATATAGAGTAGCGATCCTGTCAAGCCGGCCTGACAGGACTCGTCCCTCGGTCGAGGTCATTTGGGGCCCTTCCCGATAGAATTTTTTGATGATTTTTTAGCATGTTCTTCATCAAGTCTAGTTTATGTCCACCAAGTTTGAGCATAAATTTCAATCGGAAAGCCCGTTAAATAAATTCTTTACAAAAACTGGGATGTTTATATATATAAAGCCATCGCATGTCCAAGGCCTTCCATGGCTTCTACACCGCCATCACATGTCCAAGCTTCTCCCACGTCCTACACGTTGTCGTCGCCTCCTACAAACCTCCTCCACGCCGGTGACGCCACCATGCCTTAGACCGACCTCAGCAACGGCGAAGACAACATGAGATATGCACCCCCATCTCTCTTCTTCTCCATCATGCCACCATATCTACATTGCAAATCTCCACTCCGTTTTCATCGCATGTTGTTACCGCAGGTCCGCCCCGCCCACCCTTCTTTTTCTTCTCTTTCTCAATTGCCGCAGGTGACGAATCCAAACAAGGAAAGCGGTTGAGATTGGAGCCGATTTTAGGTTGCGATTGGATGCGCCGATTCCTAGGGTTTCGATTAGACTTTGTCTAGCCACTATCCTGCCGCTGTTGCTAGGGTTTTTGGCGGTGCAAGGATGGCTAAAGGGTGTTCGCAACGATGGTGTGGGAGATGGGGCGGTGTAGGAATGGGGGAAGTCAATGGTCCGGTTGAGCTGGGTGGAGGGTTGGTACAAAAGAATTAAAAAAAACTGTGTGGGTTGCCACATCAGCAAAGTAACTGGATGACCGGACCTTAACCTACTAAATTGTACATTTGACTGTTTTTTATAGTTCATGAGTTTAATTGAGTGTTGTTTTAGTTCGAGGATTTAATTGACTTTTTTTATATAGTACGAGGACCTATTTGACAGTTTTCCTTTTAAATTATCTTTAAAATAGTGTTATTATTGACTTGTGGATGATGTTGATACAAGTATTATTTTTAGCTATTAAGTAAAACGAAAGTTATAATATACATGGTAGAATATGTGTCATGTACATAAACATGAGTGTCTTTGTTGTGTGTTAAAATTTAGTCATGCAATTGTAGAACAAATCATACCATAGAATGTAACCTACCTCATCAAATAAACATATCATTAATTAATACTACTAATTCTTTTTAGGGAATGAGTCTTATTTTTGAACCATAAGTTTCACTCCAAATAAACATGAAAATATATACAATCTCTTTAAACGGCTGTGAGTAAAAAAAATGAACTTGATAGAATAATGAAAACTAACAATCTCGTCTTTTACCAGCCTTCTAAGAATAGTCGTGCCTTATTGTGATATAAAAATAATCTCACTTTTTCATCTCATCTTCTTTCACTAGTCCCTGATCAGTCGGTGACCTGTGATCCTGGATCTTTTCTTTTTTCTTTGCAAAACATTTAACCATAATTCCAACCTTCCATGCACAGTCCAACATATATACCATTTTCTTTATACTCTCTGTCCCATTTAAATGTTCTCACGCGGTTTACGATGTTTGACTGACCATAAAGTTAATTGATCCCTGTTATTAATCAGATTGTTTTTAGTAAATAAAATTTACATATTCAAAAACTACATTAAAAGTTTTATAATACCTGAAAAGAAAAATTAAATTTCATAAAAGTTGGATATATAAAGTAAAAGATTAAGAACAATTCACATTGATTGGAGAATAGTGGACGAGAACCTTCAAATGTGATGGAGGGAGTACTTCCTAAAAAATCTCTCTTTTTTCTTTATCTTTTCAACACGTTTTTTTATTCGAAATTTTATCAATTCAGAACTGAAAAGATAGGTTCACTATGAATAAGGGAGGTGAAAGATGAAAATAAAAAATTATTTTAAAGCGAAAGATGAAAACATTGTTTATGTATTTCTTTATCCATTTACCGTAAGATCTTTTTTTTTGTAGAATGTACTTTCACTGGTTTTCTCAGTTTTTCTTCTCCCCCATCTTTTCCTTTCCTTTTGTGTATTCCTATTTGTGTAGTCTCTTTTTATAAAATATTGTTTCTCGGTTGCCCGTTTATACAGTACTTTCTTTGACTTTTTCTTTTCCTTTCCTTTATGTCTCACTAGTATATCACCCGTGCGATGCACGGTTTATAATTATTTTGCTAAATTAATTGCTGGAAATAATTGAATGGGCCTAATTGTTACATAAAAACTTGTATAATGTAGCAAGAATGATATATCCTCAAGAGATATGTAAGATATATGATAAATATATATTAACATAGTTGGGCACATATTATATCACTACATCAAAAAGAGGATTAAGCATTTGTAAAATGTTGGGAAATACTAAAGAAATTAATAAAGATAATAACATTACATAAATGACTATAATATAACCCTACACATTGTTGAACACTTCCTTGAAAACAACATTTTGAGTCATATCTGACTATCTGTGGTGCCTCCATCCGGCCTCATCACAAATTAAAATTTTCAGACCCCGACGATTGGTAACCCTTGAAACCGCAACATACAATTGGCCGTGGGTAAAGACTGGTTTTTTTTTATAACAATCCTACACGTGACAATGATTGACCTTGACTTTTATTCATAGTCATAGCATATGACGTCATAATAGGATACTGGTGTACCCCGACGATTTGGTACGCCAGACAATTTGATGCTATTCAGGAATTCTAATTCTGGTGTATGTATACAATTCGGTCATCAAATCGGTTGTGCAATCTACTTTTGAAACGCTGTCTGAACTACGATAGGTTCTCGAAATCTCACCAACATTGAGTGATGTCATGTAGTCATTGGCGACCTCAACAACAGCTAGTGTGGGTGCCAACATTGCATGGTCACGCAAACAACTTATATTTTTTGTTGATTCAACATACTCTGGGAAGATGCTCTGAACAATTACAGCAATAAGATCTTTATCTGTGCGTTTTAACAGATCTTCATGAATAGAGATCTTCAGGAATGAAGATATTAGCATGACCATCATTACTATCACCCGTGCGTTGCAGGTCATATAATTTTTTGTTATAAATTTTATGTTTATGTATGTAAACAAAAAAGGATAAATTTTACAATTAAAAAGGTATTATATATTAGTTTGTAATTTATAATAGTATAAAGAAAAAATAATAAATAATTATGACTCATATAAGGCCATTGTAGTACATTATATTATGAGCCTGTTTGGTAATATGAAAATTGGACAGCCACCCTGTTTATAACGTTCTTCCAAAAAATCCATTAATATCACTTTTCTAAAAATCCATAAATATCGTTTTTCTAAAAACGTCTAGAACCGAATGGATATTGGATTAAATGTCCTTCAAAAGTTCCTAATTTTCTTTCAAGAACTGAATGAACTCACCCCTACATTTTTCTTCATAAGATGATATGGCAAAAAATCACTTTTTAGAACTATTCACACTGTTTTCTTTGATTACATTTTATTAATTAATGTATTGATGAATTATTCAAAAATATATTTTCTAAATTTGTATTATTCTAATTTTTCAAAATTTGTTTTTTAATAGTTTTTACTAATAGAGAATTATATATTCAAATGGTTAAAGCTACGCATCGACGAACGTGCAAAGTGAACCGTTGCGCTTATTTAAGAACAAATGAAGTATAACCTAAATTAACCCATTTTTTTACGGCCCAAACCTATTTACACTATAAGCTACACTCCAGTCTTATCTAAAAAATAATTTGAAAGTATACACTATTATACATTTTTTTTAAATTTATCCTTCATTCTATCATATTATTTCATTATTTTTCATCATATGCTCAATAATTTATATCTCTGCCTTTATTCATCATCCCACTCACTTTAAAAGTTAATGGATCTTTGTGTTATGGAGCTTGTATAAGGTTGAAGTGTTGAACCATGGGCTTGTTATTTTAAAAAGAAAGTGATATTCCCTTCTCTCCCATTGGACTTAACCAACTTTCATTTATTATTTGTCCGAAACAATTTTGACACTTCCTTTTAAAGTCATGAATTTATGGCTCTATTTCTTTTTCATCTCT